CGAAAAAATGCGAATACTCTGTTCCACCTCAATACTATTATTCATTGAATGTGCGTCTGTACCCGAACACCCAGTATTATTCGTATTCACTTAGTCATTCAATTCATTTTTCTGAAAACTTTCACTGACTCCAGTTGCCCAAAACGAAACGTACGTGAATTATTACATCCATGATTTCGTGATTTGATTAATGTCAGTATTATAGCATATAAACTCTGGGTTCTTTTGTTAGATCTAAGGAGCTGAAAGTGCCATTACATCTTATAGATAGATATTAATGCTCCCTCTTTCCAAGAGTCTATAGGAGCAAGAAGGGAGCTAAAAATTAGAAGGTGTTACAAGAATCGCGTTGCGTATAATCTGTTAGTTTGAAGAGGAAAAGGGGGGTAGGGGAGAGGGGGGGGGGGGCATAGTAAGAAATTTGCACCTTTTCGAGAACAGGAGCAAGCAGCGATTAAAGTCTCCCGTAAGTTGAGGTGGGTCCCTACAAGAATGTGTGTGTGTGTGGGGGGGGGGGGGGGGGGGGGGGGGAGGGGGGGGAGGGGGGGAGGGTCTGACGAGATGTACTAGATGCGTGCACATAAACCGCACTGCTGACTCTATCCCCGCTGTACCTGCAACCCTCAAATTGCTAATCCCCAAATGTCACATCCCTGAAAACAAGCTATTTTATTGCAATATTGCATTTTGATTTCACTAATGTTGGGGCAGTGGAGGAGCGTCTCAGACCATCCTTTAAAATCAGTGGGGGGTCCGAGACCACCTGAGACCCCCCAGAGTTTAAGCCCTGGGAGCGAGTAAGGTATGTTATATAACGTTGTGACCATGAAACGACTAACGCTACTTATTTTCCTCATTTCGGAAGAGCGTGTTCAACACCAACCTTCTGCTGATCAAAACTTGGGCTGTACCTATTTTCTGACGCAAAGATGCCAAAATAACAAACGTGAAGAGATTCAATTCCATCAAACATTTTAAAACAATTGTTCGTTTCAAGCTACAGCACTATAAAAAGGCAACGAAATCTGTTTGGTTTGCTCTTCAGTAATTTTTTTTCGCGTTTAGAACCGCGCCTATAATTTCTAGCTCATCAACGTCGCCCACCAGTTACTGTGACTCAAAAACCAGCGACAGGAGTAGGACTCAAAAGGAACGCACTGCTCTTAGAGTGGAGTAGGACGTTTCTTTGTAGACATGGAACGAGAACCTTACTTAGTTTCCATTTGAACGAGTAGAAAATAAAGGTACTGTCGTGAGCAAAAGTCTGGATAACACGGGAGCGCCGACCAAATTGCATCGCCGCGCTCCCTGACGGCGCGGCGCCTGGTGCCGAGACCCGCGCAATGCGCACGCGCGTCCTTTCTTATCTGCTGGCCCACTCGTACGCTCGCTTCAACGCGATGCGTTCCTGAGCGATTAAATAAGCGCTAGGTGCCGCCCCGGGATCCAAAATTCCGAGAGCCTCGCTCACCGCTCTGGACGAGCTCGCGTGCTCCGCGGCACGCGCCGTTCGCGAATATCTTCCCCGCCACTCGGCGACGCGTTAAAACTGTCGCTTCCCTCCATTCAATATTTTTACGCTTCCCCCTATATTTGCCGCGGCTATAATGCGAACAGCTGCTGCTCAATTTCTTATGCACGCGTTGTAAAGGGTCAAGAAGTCAAGAAAACAACGAGAAAAAACAAAACAAAAAAACATGGTACTGGCCACATATTCTCAGCATGGTTGTTCGCGAAGTGAACTTAAAATGTTCAGTTTGACATCAGCTGTGATGGCTTGTACCGGAAGTCATAAAATAAAGCGGCTATGCAACGATTTCCGGACATTAGCCAAATAATTATAGGAGTTGTTCTCCGACACTTCTAAAGTAAAGAAGAGAAAAGTGATTTTGTCTGTGTGCTCTAATTATAAGTTTATACAATAGCAAAGATTCAAGTTTCCGGCACCCCTAAACTCTCTAAATGACGTGCTCAGTGACGTCGACGTGAGGATGCACTGGTTTTTGCGCGCTCTCCTCAAGGATGTTTACTCTTTCTCTCTCTACGGTTCTTCGTGAGGCGTTGAGCTGCAGCGATCCCCGCGTCACCGTCATGGCCGCCGCGCACGGCTGCAGAGGGGGAAATATTTCCATTTCTGCTTTGCGATTACACAGCAGAATTGCAACATTTTGCAGGAAGCTGATGCTTTTTCGATTTTCTCTGACACTATCAACAATATAAAAATTACAAGCGACCCAAACTGTACCAGCGCCTCTTTTTCCTTCCGTTTTGTTTCTTGTTTTTTCTTGGGAGGGGGGTTGAATAAATATTTCTTTCTTATTAGGCATTTTCTTCTTGCTCGTCATTCATCACTTTACCGCGCGTGCATGATCACTCCGAAGGAAGCCCAAGGCTGCCTCGAGTACGCGAATACAAGTTCTACAATTCATTGCGGCTGCATCAACATAAGGGACAGTGTTAACGCGTCGCCGAGTAGCGGGAAAGATATGCGCGAACGGCGCGTGCCGCGGAGCACGCGAGTTCATCCAGAGCGGTGAGCAAGGCTCTCGGAATCTTGGCTCCCGGGGCGGCACCTAGCGCCCATTTAATCGCTCAGGAGCGCATCGCGTTGAAGCGAGCGAACGAGTGGGCCAGCAGATAAGAAAGGACGCGCGTGCGCATTCCGCGGGTCTCGGCACCAGGCGCCGCGCCGTCAGGGAGCGCGGCGATGCAATTCGGTCGGCGCTCCCGTGTTATCCAGACTTTTGCTCACGACAGTACTTAGTTACTTTTTTGTAATTGCTGTCGATGTCAACTCTCCAGTTATCCCGTCATATGCGGCGCAACCCAAAGGCACTGTCCTTGAGCCTCAGCTTCTTTCTTGTTCGTATCAAAAACCTGCCTAACTGCGCGCCATCTTTGATCCATTTGTTCTGAGACGACCGAGTGTCTTTCCTTTTTTTACGAGAAATAAGCATCGACAATGACGCACCTGCCCAAAAGACTGACACCAACACTGTATGTTCATGTTGAAATACGTGAGATCTGATGCTACATGTTGACAATGCGTTTATCTCGTTTTATATATATTTTGAATATTTTTCACCCGCTTACCTTTACCTCTTTTTTTATTTTTTGCCTTTTATAGTCTACGGTATTTTATTCTGTCTTATAAGCATTACACCCGCTCCTGCTGGGGCCACAATAATGGCTTGCAGTATACTGCAAATATATAAAGAAAGCGCAAATTCATGTCTACCCTCCCCTTCTTAATCTATTGATCTATCATCATATCATCTTGATGGCCTCCCCATTCGAATCCTTCGGAACTCGAAGCATTTGGGAATTTATAGGCCTTCGTAATTATTCTACAATTAGCTGGAAAATTAAATTTGCTTTCATTACTAACGAAGCTAATCGCGCGCTATGTACTTAAAACGTACCTTTACTCAGCTCCTGCCTTTATTAAATTAAACTTTTACAAACACGCGGTGCTTTACATCGCAGCTAGGTTATGTTTCTTTAATATGAACTCCAGCGTGAAAATCCTTGTAAACCAAGTTAAAGTGTTTCAAAACAACTCAGACCGTTTTATGTACTTCATAAACTATTAACGACCTGCCACTGCCAGTGTGCCCACGATGAAATCAATTTGGGGTTGGTTATATTCAGCGCCTCGGCGCAAGAGCTCAAGGATGTGCGCGACGCACAAACTAGTTAGCACACCACTTTACGCGATGCATTGCTCACTTCGCCTTCATATGAGTTGTCAAGATTGGATCACTATCATAAAGCAGACGTAATCTCATGCAACCCAAAATAATGTTTTGTTTAATTCCTTCTTCCTGCGTATTTCTAATGACTGGAACCGCCTTCCCGCCAGATTTTTTCCAATGAAACAGTTTAATTTATTTTAATTTGTTTTGCACGAAATAGCCAACTGATTTGATGTAAGGGCGACAGTACGATACCGACCATCTCTTCTCATTTGTTATCATGTTTTTTTTTGTGTCTTTTACATTTTATGTGTAATATTGATTGTTAGGGGACTGGCTTTTCAATAGGTTGAAGTTTCATTGTTTTGTTTTTGTTTTTGTTTTTGTTTTCTTACGCACCTTTTTTAGTACTTATTAAGGCAAAAACTGCTGTGTCACTGGACTACGGAGGCATGTGCTACGTGTAAAATTCCCCTGCGCATGATCAGAGTGCTTCCCAAAGCCCAGTAGACAAAAATGGAAGACCGCAGAAGGCGATAATTAGAATAGACAATACCTGCTTCTAATTTTAATTGCGTTTTTACTACTTCTATGTGCCACTCCCCCTTAGAATGCCGTATTGGTTCATGTTTTATTAAATGTTAATCAACTAACAAATAAATAAAAACTGGCACGTCTGGTTCCCCCAGCCGGACTACTGAGGCGTGATCTCAGAGCAGTTTGGGCTTACACTTTTGATCGCTTTTCACCACATTCTTGCCATCAGACTAAGTGATGTGTTAGACGACGTTTCACTGATATCTTCTCTTTTTACATCTCTCTCGCCTACTAGCGAGGGCTGTGATCTTTAGATTAACATCTGTTACTGCAATCTTGTAGTAGAACGTTCTCACGTGTCCGTGTTTTAATTTATCCTGGCTTCACTGGTTACGGTTTAGCACGTGTTCGAAAAAATCGGACACAAAAAAGCAGACACAGATCTGTTTTTTTTCTCTATTCAAACATTACTGGCAGACCGTGCGGGAATGCATCTATTCCATGCCTCCTTCGATTTATGCAAAGATCGCTTCCGCTTTTCACGGTTAACCATTCCTCAAATAGCGACGATAACCTCGACTACGGCAACCCAAAGCGAAAAGAAACAGCCTCGAGAACGAGAACCGCTTTCGCACCAAGCACAGCCCCGTCTATACTTCCCAGCTGGCAACGCTGGAATCAACAATAACTCCGCGCGCTTCCAAGAGATGGCGCAAGGCGTTTGCTAGGGAAATCTCGGGGGAAAAAAAAACTACGCGAAGCGCATCTTTTTTTTTTTTTCACCCAAGCCAAAGCCGAGGCGTCTCTGGCGTCTCTTCTGTGGGTAAATATCCGCTAGGCGGCTAGGCCTCTCTTCTAGTGGCGCGGTTGAAATATCAAGAAGCGGCAATGGTGATCGAGTAGTTGTTGGCTGGTTGTGCCCGTGTGCTGTGTTGTTTATGCTCGGAGGCGACCGGTGGGGGTGGATACACGATTCCTAGCGAACCCTCGTCCTTTCGTAGCCGGCCGCACTAGGGACGAAACTTTTTTTGGTATCCCGGGCCAGTTGCTTACACGGATTACCCCCTACGCCTACCGGGAGGAATGTGGAAGGCGACGCTCCTACTCTTGTTCGCCGTGAATGGAGTACTACTCTCTGCGGAAAAGGTACTGTTCCCTTCGCTTTGCCCCGTCCTTTGACAAGTTCTGTTGGTTCTTCGCGACGTGCCGGCGTTGTACCCGCGAACGCACGCTCGACACTCCTTCGAAACCGCGGATAGTACTCGCTGCGAGCAACAGCTGCGTTGACCGTACTACTACGAAGGCCCGCTTCTCTAATGCCTCTCGAAGGTTAGTGACCCAGGCGTAGCCTGCTTTTAAGAAAAACTTGCCCCCAAGTTTTGTTTTCGTTCGCTTCGCTTTTTATACGCCGCGTTTTGGAGACGAAGTCTTTCTGTATTCCGGTCAGCGTAGCTCCTGAATCGCGTGAAACCCGCGCCGCGAAACAGTGTTCAATTTTCTACGAGTGCATTTTGTTCTTCGTTTTTTTCCAAACGTTTTTGCTTGTTTTTGTTCGGGTGCGCGTTGTCTGGCTTTCGCTGCGACGAAAAGTTTGGTGGACGCGTTATCGCCGGAGCGGCTAAAAAGGCCCGTCACCTCTCGGCGCATTTCGGTAGATAAGGAAGGCTCTTCGAGTGGTTGTTTTCTTGCAGCTTTCTTGGTTACTGTGCGAGTTTGACACCCTCTAGAACCACGACGACGGCAGTGGCGACGAGGGGAGTGCCGACGATTGTTCAGCGGTTTAAGCGCAAACTCGGGGGGTTAGGGGTTGGTCCTTTGCCGGAAACGCTCCTGCTTTCTTCTCGGTGCTATTTTATTTTTCTCTTTAAACTTGCACCCCACAAAAGGCACGACGCACGACTTTTCAAGTCTAACTTGGTCGGCCCGTCGTTGGTTTCCCCTCCAAAGAAAACCATCCCTTGTACAAAACTCGCTTTTGTCTGCCGGTGTTGGATAACCCCTCCCCCTCCAAGCGTAGATGCTTTTTCGGTGTTGGTTACCAGTCCCACGTAAAGTCAGTCCCACGCTGTGTGGGCCACTTTCGTTTTGCCGTTTTGACAGCGGACGCCGCGGCTAGGCCTAGCACTCGCGTTTGTATCGATTTTGGTGTGCCTGGCGTGCGTTTGTCTGTGCCCGTTTCTCAGGGAATGCTCTCATTCATGTGGTGTATGAATGCTTGCTCGGTGGGTGGTTTCCGTTGCCGCGGTTTTTTAAGTCGGCAGACGTGTTCTTAAGAACGGCGGTACTACCTCCTTTTTGCTCCTGGTCTTTTAAACATGTAACTTGGTAAAAAGAAATAATCTGCCGGAACAAGATAGTTTGCACCCACAGGTTTGCGCTCGCATTTCCTAGTCGAGTAGGGTGTGGTGGGTGGTTCAACTACGCTCATTCCACTCGCCCATACATGGTGCTTTCTTACGTGATGTTTTACACTGAGCGCACTCTACTGTTGTGTCTATATGCATCAGGGTGCTTTCCTTTCTCAAAATAGAAGCGTCTGCATGGACCTGTGGTTACGAGACTCCTGTTTCGTAGCACGCTCTTCGATAGCTTTACTTTTCCACTCCATTGTGACATCCCAGAACGGATTATAGAGCTGTGATGGCCCAAATCGTTGTTGTAAGGGGTTAGTCTGCCACGTGCGTGGTTCTATCTTCCCCTCGCGTAGACTTTCATACAGGCGTCCGACTTTGTCAGTTTTTATTGGTTCACGAGAGCTAAGCGAGTAGTTAATCCCGACTAGGGCTTCAAGTAGTGCTTTTGAATCGTCTGGTATCTGTCAAGATATTGGCATAATTATGTAATTCTTTGCTGTGAATGATGCAACATTGTTGGTTGGCAGTTCTTGCGTACTGTGCTGTAGTTTACGCAACCATAAGGCAGTCTTTTTCTTCATTTTTATCGAAGCATTCCTGGGAAGCCCTCCGGACGATCGTTAAAAGTTGAGTCACCGCTTCCAACTATCTCGTCGCACCCAGGGCTGGTTCGGAGAACGTTGGGTCCGTGTTTCGCTTCTAGGAAGTTCTCCCAAATTATTTCCTTTTGTTTGCTCTATTAATTTATTGGTTAACTTTCCAGGAAATTGTGCTAGAGCGTTAAAAGGCGAAAGAATTGCGCCCATCGCTTGTAACATTAAGCTTTTTTTTAAATAAACGGGCTTTCTTATTTATCTTTGCTGAACGATACTTTAATGTAATCCCATTTGATTTCAAGACGGCCGATGCCTGGTGCTTCCTCCTTGCTTTTTGGTACTCCCTGATCACTATGAATGAGGCGCATGTGTTTTCCAAATAAAGAACGTTTCCAGCTGTTGATGAAACCTCTGGTGGAGTTGCAAAACATGCCATTCTTGGAGGGTAATGAACACACAGAAAGTTACAATTGGCAAATGATTAACCTGTAGTCAGTCCCTTGAGCTGAAATGTGAAGCTAATTTTTTTTTTTTTCTTTCTTGCCTAGCCAATCTTTCAGCTTTCACGACGAAAGAAATGTGAGAGCAATTTCGTGTTCAGCACCCAGTTCAGTTTCCTTAAGTAGACATTGATAACTCTTAGAGGGGCACTAGAGTGCTTTTTGAGCTCGCCTTTACATGGCGCAAACTTCACCTGCACGCCCTAAACGTCCTAGAGAGCCAAAAATTGCAATTGTGCGTGGCCCTTTATTAAAAACGTGACGAAATCGTCGCAATACCACCTTTTCCTCTATCATCGCAAAAAAAGAAAAAGCCATCATGCCTTAATTTGTTTTCCTGTTAAAAACAGGACCAATCATCGCAAAACGCCCCTTTTTTCTCGGACAATCTCTGAATGGGCGTGTCGCAATTTTAATGGCAAGAAGACTGGGCGTGATTGTTATTTCTGATATTCTGGGATATGATTCGGGCACAAATGTTCAATTCAAACTTTTATATATATATTTTTTAATCTGATTCAGATTTTGAGTTTTCGTATTAGTCTACGCATATTTGATGCTTTTAAAGCTGTAGTCCGTTGCAACTCAAAACGCTGAGGAGAGGTTTCCCCCTCTCCTCCGGCGTTCCTTCTGCTTCCTTCTCCCCGCTCAGTCTTACCCTCGCCCTACCTTCTTGAGTTGCAACGTACTATAGTTACCTCATTTTTATATTAATGGGGAATCGTTTTTGCGGACTCTGCCTCTGGATCATGGGAAAGGTGGCCTTCAAGACAAATTCATTCCTCCAGCAAAGAAACCGCGGATCAGCTCGCAATTTCGACCAAGCGCGCGCCCAAATGCGTGCGCTCGTTTAATCGGTTGCTGCACGGCTTCGAGTCATTCTGATAGTGCTCTCTCCTCCACTGGACGCCACACTCCACTTTGACGACAGGAGAAATTTAAACCGTATCTCCGTCCTGCGTTCCGCTGCAGAAAATTCCTTCTACTCGTCGTAAAATGATCCTCCCATGTGAAGGTATATTCCCCGCCGGCTCGAGTGTTGGTGACGGCCCTTGCGCCATCCAACGCGGACATGCATTCGAGATGCCGACGTCACATTGATGACGTAATTATAGGCACCCAGGAAGAGGTTTAATGTGCTTTTTCTTTTTTTGTCAGTGCGCAGGACGGCGCTATGTGACGCCTAAGCTTTTAGGGTACCTCCTTATCGAAGATCCTGCCTCCACTTCGATCGTGTACGTTGTCAGGAGAGCTTTTTGTCGTCAACCTGTTAGGATACTTCCTTCGTGAAGATATCGTGATACCACATTCGTATTGTGCCGGTTGTTTTATTTTTATTATGTTTGTTTCTAGACGCGGTTTGAGGAAACGACTGCTTGAGCCACTTTCACGACCTGCCATAGGCTTTGCTTTTTTAGGTGCGCTATCGGCGATGTTGTTAGTCTTCAAATTACTATCTTAGCAGTGGAGTGGTGATAAAAGGCACCGGGACTCGCCGCTCTCAGTGTTTTTTTTAAGCTGCCAGTTTACCGCATGCTTTTCGAAAGTCGCGTGCAGCTTGTTGGAAGGTCGGAACCGTTGCCCATAACGACGCCACTGAATGTGCCTTTCATTACGCGAGATGGCGATATGAAAGGTCATTACAAGCGTGTCGGAGCATAGCCAAGGCTAGTAACCGATCAGCTAATGAAACAGTGCCGAAACTGCAACTTCGCTGCGCTCGTGGCTTTGTCCAGTCTCGTACGCGGCACTCGAAAATACTAATTCGTTGCAATTATTCTTGCTTAAGAGTTATTTGATTCGATTTACTTTAGTAGGAAAGTAACTGACTGTTACTTCAAAAAAGTAATGTGTACTTCTCCAATTACTTCCGAAACTTCGTGTCATTACGGGGGCGGTTACAAGCGGTTCTATGGCTTCGGAAAGTAATCGAACTTCTTGCAATGACTACTCAATAGAAGTAATCACATTATTGCCAAATTGTTCCAAAAGTAATTGCGAGTAAGTTAATCACCTGCAATTGTCTGCATGTACCCCGGAATCTGACAAAACGCCGTGACGTTCCGTGTTTATGCGTGTTTTTCTCTGCCCGGTGCCACAGTGCAGGGATTCTAGTGTCCACCAACTTTGGAAATGGGTCTGTCTATATGGGGCCGGCCCGATCCGGCATCCAGGTTCCATTGTTATTTGCGTCATCCATTTATGGTGGGCCATCTGTTGCGAGGCCTATTTTACTCTACGCCCACCCGCGCGTGAATGGCATTACCTGGAAAGTGACCTGTATTCTCGTGTACCTAAATAGATCAGTGCCGGAACAACCCTTTCGTAGGAGTGACCAGTGAACCAGATGCTTGGTTCATATAATGGCGCCGACCTCAGGATTATATAACCGAGCGAACTGGTAGAAAAACAGTGATGTGAAGGTAAAGGCTCAAACAGATGAGCGAAAGACCAACAATCGTCGCACGACATTTAGTACACGAGAAAATACTTCCACACCATTTTCTGAGAAGCGAACCGGTCGTGGGTCTTCATCGAGGAGAGATCGAAAGCCTCGTTTTCGAAAAATGACTCGGAACGACTTTTTTTTTTTTTTTTGCATGTTTCTTACTATGTGCGTTTCTCCGTTAGTTTTTTCGCGCGTGTGTTCCAACCTCGATTTGACAAACTAAGTGGGTGGAACATTGCATTTGGCC